AAATAGCTTGAAATAGATCTATACTAGTCTCTCTTTATTTATTTATCAGCATAAATATAACATATATATATTATATATATAGGGGGGGGAACGAATAGGTTTATTTCCTACAGCATGAAAGAACTAGAGAAATGTAGACTATTAGAGACTGCTTTATATTGATTAAGACCCTCATTTTACCTAATTTATTGTATACTTATTTACTGTAACTCCCCATATTTCAGATAGGTACCTTTTCAATGCTACTTCAAGGGTTACTCTGGCATAGTAATGCATATGCTTTACTGTTGATTGTAGCTCTTTATTAGTAACATTTGAAGCTAAGTATGGTGGGGGTGTGGAAAAGTTTATTTTTGTGAACCCCCCCCCCTCATTATTTTTTCATCAGTGTAGATGGTTGGAAATTTAGCGCTCACAGAAACCTGGAGACACATGAGCTAATTTATAGTAGAAATTCTTCTCTAACACGCATTTGGAAAGAATATTTTAATTTCCTTCTTTTCAATCTGCATATGCTGAAAATAACTTTTAAAAAAAGAGTCTCTTACATCTTGATAAATTGAACGAAAGTAGCTACGTGCATTATTTCTTTGCACAAGAAAAGAAACCTAATGTGGAAGAAGTAGATTTAAACACAAACTGATTAAAACCATAAGCTTTGCTGAAGTATCTTTCCTCAACTCCCTGACAAAGAGTGGAAATTTATAAGCAACTATAAAACAGTGCATGATTACAATAATATTATCCAACTAAAAACTCAAATTTCTGTTGTGGCAGCAGAGCTATTAATTTGGGGTGGGGAAAAATATAAATTAAGACTTATATGACAAACTGGACATTCTAGTGATAGAGAGTGATTCAGATGCAGCATTTCCCGCATTCATTCTCAAGCACTTTCAGAGAGAAATGAGAAAGTGTTATCTAAATCCTGGGCTGCCAATCAAAGCTAGCAATTCTAGTTGAAGCAGACCAAAGTCTTGACTTGCTCTAAAGCAGCTTCCCATTGTGGCCCCATCCCTGTTGCTCTCAAAAAGCAAAATTTTGAAATGCCTGGTTATTGCAAATAACCCAGCCTTGCTTTTTATTCACACAAATGGGTCTATAAACCATATGCTTCTTTAATAATTCCAAGAGTAATCTTGGCTTCTTTAGCCAAGAAACCAGTACTTTTCAGGTTTGTTATTGAAAATCCCCAGTTTAGCCCTTTTCTAAATCATGATTCTCTCAAAACCAAGAAAATTATTCTTCATATTTTCTAAAATGCTTGACTAACAACTAAAGAACTTAATAACTAAATTGACTAAGAAAAGAAAAGGCACCTTTAATTTATTTTTTTATAACAAGATTGAATTTTGTGTAAAGATAGGCAGATTTATTGTTGCACAGATTTTTTACAAATTTATATCTGGCTGTCCGGCAGATCTGTTTAATACTATGATTGTCCTTATTACTGATCTTGGTGAGATGAAATATTGTGCCATATTTTTATTCATGTTTAAGATATCACAAGAGCCCAGGCCTCTGAGAACTAAGATGTTGGTTTTTGTTGTTGTTACTTTCCTGAAGCATCAGTTGTCCTGTATTGTCTGCCTTTCTGAGCAGCTGTGTATTACGATTTCTGTGCTGACCCTCCCAGGGGTAAATGCTTGACAGCTCTAAGCTAAAGAAATATGTTTCAGTTGATTCAGCTATATCTATTGCAAGATATGGAATCTAGATGTCCACGTAGGCTTCTAGGTGATATCCTGGAGTATTGTATTTTTTAATCTTAGAACAAAATGTATGGAAAGCTGACTTTTGCTTGAGGCAAAGTGAATAACTAATTGCAACTATTTCTTTTCTATTCTATGTGTATAATTTTCCCCCTACTCTTCTACGCTTACATCTTTTAAGCATAATATTTCTTAATACTCTTTTACATTTTTTTTCATTTAACACCCTCGCGTGAAAACCTCCTTCACATATGAAAATGTAGTCCATTGTATCTGAGATACCATTTCAGACATTTTGGTGTACAGTGTGAAATAGTTTTGTGAAAAAACTAATTACTTCTGACATTTTCAGTTGTTGAGCTAATGAATGCTTGAGTTTAGCCCCTCGTAATTTATTGACAAAAGAAATGGAATGGAGCTTATTAAAAATATAATAGTTCAAAAGGTTTGTATAATGCACTGAGAAGCTTGTTTGAAGAGGGAAAAAAGAACAGCCTATATTCATTAAAGAGCTTTTTCTCTCCCCATCTTTTGCAGGGCTGGTTTAGCCCAGGCCAAGTCTTCGTGTTAGATGAATATTGTGCTCGTTATGGAGTAAGAGGCTGTCACCGCCATCTCTGCTATCTGAATGAATTGATGGAACATTCAGAAAATGGTGCTGTCATTGACCCAACCTTGCTCCATTACAGCTTTGCCTTTTGTGCGTCTCATGTTCATGGCAACAGGTATTTTAATATGCAAGCATGCCGCAAAAAGTCATTAGTCTGTGTGATAAATGAGAAACAAGCAATATATTTAGATTTCACTTCTCCCACTTAGAACAGAGCCAAGAAATGAATGAGTGTAAGGGTTAAATTCATACAAAATATTGCTGTTGGTTCTGGAGTGCGATAAAATGCTTTTCTATGTAAATGAGGGCTCTTGTTTAAAATAGAGCAGCATTTCAAAGGTTCTCTATTTGAAGGCTATTTTTTATTTTATCCATTGGGTATAAAGAAACCTTCACCAACCTGGTACCCTCCAGATATGTCAGGTAACAAATCCCATTGTCCTCAAGTACATGGTGGCTACAAACACATAGGAAGGCTGGGGAATGGAAGGTATGAAATAGAAAGCAAGGTATGAATGTTTAAACTATGAGATGGATGATGCTGGTGAACACTACATTCTAATGCAAAGATAGAAGCAACATTACTGCTACAAGAGAAACTGTTTAATCTAATAGCATGTGATTTAGAAAGCATTATAGATCAACTATATACATAGGACTTCTGACATTTGGGTATGAATCTATGGCTTAGTCAAGACATGGTCAGCTTTGGTTGACTGAAGGGTCACTCCAAAATATGTACAGTTTATTTGCAGAAGGAATAGAAAAATGAAATGAATAACATAAGCCTTTAGGAAGCTCATAACACCAGTTTGCTGTTTAAACCAAGACGAGAGCATCACTTTGACCTCCAAAATATGAGATTGGATATAACTCGATCAAAGAAACAAAGAAATAAAATGTTTTTTACATTCTTTGTTAGGCTGTACTTTGTATTCTTCTTGCTGAGACTCCTGCCTTAACACTCTGTCCAAGTTTAGCAATGATGATCATGATAAGTTTCCTAGATCCATCATGGAGTCCAATGATTTATTTTAAGTACTAGCTTTGGCTACAATTTTAAAAGTGGGGTAAGAAAGTTTACTTTAATTAGAAAGTAAGTTTTTATGGGAAAAATTTCTATTGAAAATATTTATGCGTAGTGTCTAAATACATTGTCAATAAACTGATGTGTTTCAGGACAGAATAGAGATTTGCCTTTTAGATATTCCAATAGTGATTCCTGGTTTCATTGCCTCTGCTTGTCCTATGTTTCGTTCTCACCTTCTAAGACTCCTTTACATCTTTTAGAGCATAGTAGTTGGAAGAGGATTGATTCTTCTGTTAAAGCAAATTTGGTTTTTCTAAGTAAATTTTGTCTGGCAAAAAATCTTAATTTGTGGGACAAAAATTAAGCAAATTCAGCATAGACTTCAGTAAACTGGTGAAAATTTGGTGGCATATATATTAAAGCACCATAATAAAAAAATATGTCCAGGAGAATTCCTAAACAGTATACCTGCTTCTTTAGAAGAAGTATATTCCAATCCAAAGTTAAGTGGTACAAACCTCCATTAAAAATCACATAAATCCCCATTCTGCATCAATTCTAATCTTACCTGGATTCTCCTTTAATTCATTTCTCCTCATCCATCATAGACCTGCTTAGATTCCTATTGCTTTTTTTAAAATTAAGAGATGGAAATTAGAGCTAGAATATCAGGTGCATATTGATATTTTAGCCAAAATTCCCAGATTACTTTTCCCAGCAATTTCATGGAGATACCAAAAAGCAAGGACAAAATATGAAATCTTAACAAATCCCCAAATTTATGTAATTAAGCCAAGGCTACCAGTTTGGAAATCATTGATATATACATATCCTTTGTGTCCTAAGGGTGTTATTTTGTGACTGCATTTTGGTTGCCCCTATACATTTCATCAATGTTCATTTAGTAAGAAATTAAAAGCCATTTCTAAAATAGAGCTAGATAGGAAATTAAATCCCAGAGGAAGTTTATGCATTTGTGAATCATTTTAAATAACCAATATGGGAATCCTTGCCTTTTACTGTATCTGCCTCAGTGACTCATTAAAATCTGTTAATTATATTCTGATACTATTTCAAGCCCTTAGCAAAATGAGCAGGCATATGAATTCTAGGTACCTCCTATATATTTTTTAAAAGGATCTTTCTTCATAAGCAGTACTTTGATGGAGCAGTGAATGAGCTTTCAGACAAAATGGACATGGTCTAGTTTTCACCACCAGCTATGGCTGGCATCTTCAGAGGCAGCATGAGTTGCTTTTTGGTGTAGCTCTTGGCAGCTCAGAGACAACTGAACTCGGCTGATTGGGCCCTTGCATTTAAACCTGGTACGTCAATTTCTGATTGTTCCAAGAAAGCTGGCTCCAGATTGATTCCTCATCCAATTGGTCCATTTTGGATTAGTTTAGAATCACCCAGATTCTTGTATGCATGTGTGAGCAACTTACAGCAACTTAAATGCTTAAGAGCCTGGAGATTAAAACATATGAAGAGCAGCTGCAGGATTTGGGATTGGCTAGTCTAAAGAAAAGAAGGACTGTGGGTGGGTGTGGGGGTGGTAGTATTCCAGTATTTGAGAGGCTGCCACAAAGAGGAGAGGGTCAATTTATTTTCCAAAGTACCAGAAGGCAGGACAAGAAAGAATGGATGGAAACTGGAGAAAAGCAAACTGAGATTAAGGAGAAACTTCCTAACAGTAAGGACAATTAACCAGTAGAACAACTTGCCACCCAAAGTTGTACAGCTTCACCCATCAGTGGAGGTTTTTAAGAAGAGGCTGGACAATTACTTGTCTGAAATGGTATAGGGTCTCCCACTTGAGCAGGGAGCTGGATTAGAAGACCTCCAAAGTCCCTTCCAGCTCTATTCTGATTGATTTTGTGTCTGTGTGCACATGTGTATTTGAATGAATACAGTTTTGAAAACATTAACATAAATACAGTTTTGAAAACATTAACGTGATTTGCTTCCTCTTTTGGAATTTGTTTGGTTAAAACTAGTAAAGTAAAAGATTAGTAAATATTTGAACTTTCATGATACAAATTCAGTGATATATAAATTGGCATAAAAAAGACATGGCCAATTTCAGTACAGCCAAAGAGCTTACGGTAATTTCTTTTTCTCAAAAAAAGATGGGTTCTGTTGTCACTGTTATGGTTGACCACTTCCTATAATTAACAACAGCAAATGAGGACAACCTTGGAGGGCTGAATTTCTCAGGAGTCCCTCCTTTTCTAATAGTCTTCTATCTATTATTTTTGTCGTTCATTTCTGTTCTTTTTTGTATTTGAATTTTTAAGAGTGTTTAGGTTAAGATTACACAAAAGGGTGTAATTTGTTTTATATAATATTACTGATCTAACAGGAACTGCTGTATGTAAAATAAATCAACATTTTCTGGTTACTTCACCACACAGGGAGTTATAAAACATTTTTTAGAGAAACTGAAGCAAGGGGTGTAGATTCAATGGGTCCTTCAGTACATAATCTTAGCTCATATGTAACTTTTTAATATATTTGCCCTGAAGAATTGTGTTGGGAGGGCACTAATACATCCTAGTATTAGAGCTTTTCAAAGTTGGGGGACAGTTATTTGATTTAAATACTATGCCAGCCTAAATAATGTAGGTTAACCACTCAGAAACACATTCCTGAATAGCGTGGATTGATCTAGTTGGGCTTCCAAATCTAGCACATTGCACGGATTACTTAATCATAGCCCAAATAACTTCTTTTAAAAACCCATAATGTTACAAAAATGATATTTTCCATATTGATTCATAATTACCAAGCCTAATCATTTAGAGAAGAACTTAATGTTTCTGGGGGAAAAAAGTAATTTTAGCCAACAGAGAGCCAAATTGGTGCAGTGGTTAAAGGCTGGCCTAGGAACCAGGAAAGTATGAGTTCCAAGCCTCCCATGGGTATGAAAGTCTGCTTGGTGACTTTGAGACACACACACACACACACACACACACTGCCCAATGCACTTTACAGGACTGTTGCTATGGAGAAAATAGTAGACAGGAGAGTTAGGTATTAGGAGTTTTGAGGTGACCAAAATATATAAAGAAAAGTGGGGTAAATAATAATATAGNGTGTGTGTGTGTGTGTGTGTCCGCACGCATTTCTTTTGCTCTGTTTGTCCATGAATTGTTATATTATTGTCACTTGTTGAGATTCCACTTGTGGCAGTATTTTTAAAGAACTGGTGAGACTTGGAAAAGAAGACAGGTTCTCCAAATAAATTTTAAGCCAGTTTTAAAGTGAAATAATCTATATCAAAGTATTATTTTTACCTCTCTATAATCAGATGCAGATCATGCACAGAAACATGACATGGATGAGTTTATTTCTGCTAATCCTTGCACATTTGACCACGCGGCACTCTTTAGAGTACTACAGAGACAGACCTTGGATCACCGACTGAATGATTCCTATTCTTGTTTGGTAAGTAAAAGGGCTGGAATAAAAGAAGTGACAGAAAAGAAAACTGAGAAATAGTTACTGCAAAGTGGTCTTTTCTTCTAGACGCATTTAATAACTGTGCGTGAGGTTAGTATAAAGCATTTCAATCGATTGGCTTCAAATTTGAAAATTATACATTTGCAGGCTACTGCTGTGCCACTCAATAGAAAAGAGAAGAGATTCAAACTGACTCTGAACTATGGTTTATCAGCTCCTCTAGGGAGGGCTGAATAAAAGCAGAAGGCTTTAATAAATATAGAACCCTCTGTGGTAGGATTTGCTAACACCTGTACAGGCATTTTAAGGTACAAATCCAGGTTGCCAGATGTCAAGCATTATGTCATCTATCTGGTAATTCTCTCCTCCTTTATGGACTGAGAAGAGAAAAGAAATGAATAGAACCAAAACCACAGGGGGAGAAAGATTTATTGCACTTGTATTCAGCTGAGTCAAGGTTAGCTTTGTAAACTTAAATCCTGAATGAATTACTTACCGCTCTAGAGGTAATCTGTAATTTCTTTTCTTTATATATTTTTTTCACTTTCAAATGAGCACACATTTAAAGAGTGAAGTTGCAATCACAAAGGTGGATAATTGGGAAGAGCATGAGGAAAAAATGT